TAGACTTAAACGAAAAAGACTGTAAAAATAACTCATTTAATATATATGTCCCGTGCATCGCACAAGGTACGTACTAGTAGTAGATTTAAAACAACAAAGTTAATATTGATTCGGAAAGTCAAAAAGTTTGATGTGAAAGAAAACGATGCCTAAATAAATCCATAAAAATCATTAATTTTCGCAACATAAGAAATTATAAATCATTCAAAAATAAATTTAAGGTAAATATATAATATTTAAGTTGATATACAGAACTAAAATAAAATAAAATATGTCAATGGTTCAGTACTTGTATATAAAAGCACGACAACAATTTAAATTTTTGTAAACAAATTTCATGGAATTATAAATTATGTATACACCAATTTAAAAAGGTATGCATGAGATGAAAATGAGAAATGTTAATAATCCCATTGCCACAATTCATAAGAAACCACACTTATCGTCACCATCAAAAGATATACTCAATCATATGAAGTAATTTAACACCAACAAAAACACAGGACAAGAAGATTAATGAAAACAAGAGAGTATTAGAGAACAAGGAAATGAGCAACCAGTACAGATTTATGATAGCAGCTTCGAGAGAGAAAGACAAGTACTTCATTCAATAAAATCAATCAGCAGCAGCCTGATGATATTCTTCAATAATTTTACTTTTCAAACTTGGGACGAGAAGAAGACGATTGTTCAACATCTTAGGGTTCCAACAAATCTAACAATCTTCTAAACGTGCTTTCACTGAAAGACGAGTACACAAAGAACCTGCAACACAGAACAAACATAAACTACTTGTCAGAGTATTAATACCAAGGGACCCGTATTGCAGGGATAAATCTGAACCTGATTACAAGATATTTTCCTGTTATCTTTTAAACCTGCAAATACACTTTTAAACTTGCTAGGCTCTTTGTAACTCACCTCAGTCTTGTGGGTGCAATTTGTATATATGAACAAAAAAGGGGGGGGGTGGGTAAGTAACTTCCTATCATATCTAGGCCGAACCTGATGGGTTGTCTTTTTTTATTCTTATGTATGATTTATTTATGTTCTTACAGCATATAACTGCAACAAACTGCCACCCATCAAGCTGCAATATTCTTCCTTTGACCAAGCAGCAAGAACAGGCGTTTTCTTTCATGCAAAACCTATTCAGAAAAATAAAAATGAAAAATGATTACAAACTCAAAAGTGGTAAGAGCCAAATTGGGATGGAAATCACACTAGAAACTGAACAAAGAAAATGGCAATCAAAAATGATCTTCTGTAGACCAGACTATGAAAGAAACGGCACACAATGAATCATGAATAGTCGTCTTCCTTTACCGAATCACCTTCAAAACCAGCATACCTCAGCTATATTTGATATCTGCTTTTATTATAAATGAGCACCCTACGTTGTGTAAGAAATTACGAGCCTCAATGAAATGTTTATAAACACCTCAAGCGGGCAATCATAACTTAGAAATTTTTTTATATCAGTGTGCCAAACCTATGAGTAGCTTTTGAAATTTATCCCACAGTAGATTGATAAGAGGCTAAAATTTGGAGGCTTGTACAAGGGGAAAAAAAGGTTAATAAATCCTCAAATTTAGAGCCATTACCTAATTTATCTCAGAATAAGAGGAAGCCCATATGTACTCCAGATCATTCGTAGGACACAAAGGGCCTAATAAAAGGGCTCGTAGAACCAAAAGAAAAAGGTTTGTAGAACCAAAAGCACAACTCCGCAACAACCAACAGATGGAAAAAATCTTGAGGGCGACTATTTCTGAGTTATTCTGGCTTGGTAAATAGTTCACTGGTCAAATTTCATCTCTGTGTATCTGCAAATCAATAAATGCAATTATATTCTCAGCAAAAGGAACCTCATTTTAAATCAGTATGCTACATACAAAACTCCACTTGCCTGCGAGGGTTCTTTTGCCTCTGGCCGAAGTCATTATTTACAAGCTCTGTTCAAATTATGAAGTTCAGAGTTATGTATGGGACGAAATTTCAAATTGATTAGAGGAATAAAGGGTTCAGTGTATCTAACCAGGTCCCTGTGCAGTGTCCGTTTCACCCACGGAATTCGTTGTATTATATTCTTTACTGCAATAACAACAACTTGGTTTACTGGTTGTTACAAATCAAAAAGAGATGAGATGAAGACACCTTATTCATTCAAGCCCAATAAAAACTTACGACATCTATTCGAGAAATCGGATAACTTGGTTTAAATGCAATCAGAAGTTCATAATGATAGAGAGATGGGGAAACAAATCAAACAAACATGATATATAGAGATTCATGATGGCACTCAGTAATATAGGTAACCAGTAAGGCTAAGATTGTGTGGTTACACGCACTATCGTATCTACCTTGAAGCAGCCTTTACGGAAGATATTTGTCCCGATGGGCGAGCCTGATATGAACCATCAACAGCAAAGGGAGCACCATATCTTGCCCCCAGTGCCCCAGCAGGACCAGTTAAAATTGGCAGCCTGATTAACATTGCAAATTATCCGTCAGAAAATAAGATAGAACAGTGGATGATTTAGGAGAAGTGAATTATTAAGGATATAAGATAAAAACATAATGATTAGAGTTGATGTGATTTAAAAGAAATAAAATTTTAACAGGTAATGACTGGTAGTTAGAAATATGTGAGTGAGTGAATAGTGTTTTATACTAGAAAATATATAATAATGATTTGACTTTTAATTTTTAACCGGGTTAGTGCAATTGTAGGAAAATTTTTTGGATTAAATGAATGGTTTTTTTTTTCCCCTGAATTTGTTTTGTTAGAAAATAAATAACAATGATTGACTTTTATTTCCAATCACCTAATGTGTTTGCCGAAAAGACTGGATAGTGTTAATAGTTATTACCAGGTCATTTCCGAACTCCCTCGACCAAGCTGGGGTTGACCAACATATCCAGGGAAGGCCATGCCAACAGCAGGAACTCCTATTCCTCCAGGATGCTGACCGCCAAACTGCATTACTATATAACCCACCAAGCAAATATGAAGTAAACCATTTTGCACGTTTGGTAACTATTAACTAAACGGGACAAGAGGGACTAAGACAATGTCCAAATCCACTGATGCACTATTGTGTTATCAGTAACTCAGGAGAATTTTAAAATTTTGATTTGGTCACATTTCATGTTTCTTCTCAACATGACCCAGGAAAACACTTTTGAGTACATAACCACTGAGAATATTGTACATAGTACTCCAGTCCAAAATACATAAATAAAAAGACTCCTACATCCTACCAGAAAGAACCATAGTTCTTGTTGCAGTCCGAAATGATATAGACATCTCAAAACAAAACTTACTAAAGACTCTCCAACTGAACTTATATCTAATACATCATATTAGAGGAAGAACAAACATTAAATCCTAAATTCTTGATGGTTCAGCTTTTAAAAAAAAAAAGACAAGAGCGTGAAAGTCTCGGTAATGACTGCTCAATCACTGACTTAGCAAAAATGGCAGTGTCCGTTTAGTATGCGTATCCACAATATGTATTTATAATCAAAACGCATCACATAAAACAAATCAAACACATTCCAGAAAGGCAAAAAATTAAGCTTCTCAATAAATTCCTTAGAAAGATAAAGCATGCACGCATATCACCTGGCAAAAAAGCCGGAAAATTTTGATCTCCATGACCACTGCTCATATTGCCAGAGGCCCCCATAACATGTGCTCCGCCATACAAGAAGGACCCCCTTCCACTGCCCTGAGTGGTGCCTTGTCCTTTAGGGACCAATGCAGTCTTGGATCTATTCGACTCTGCTTCCAGAGATTCAACTGCACTCGCAGTTCCACTAGTTTCTGAAGGGGAAGAAGCTCGTGATCCACGCGGTGTAAACTGCAAAGAAGACTGACCACGAATTTGACTGTGATTCCCCTGGACTGCCTGCAGCTGGTTTGAAGAATTTGCCCTGTTGACTTGAGTCAATGAAGCTGGTTCTCTTCCTCGAACAGAGTTCACAGATGATTGACCAGATAAAGGCATTTGCACAGTGTTTGCAGGTTTTCCAGTAGAAACAGAAAGTGAATCATCAATATAAAGCTTATCCATGCCAATTGCTGATGGCTGACCGTGCCGATTAATAGTGCCAGCTTGTAACTCCTTACTGGGACCACTGTGGTCTTTTGTGGATGAGCCAGATGGATAAAACGGGGGGGAAGCAATGCTCAAACTGGATGCAAGCACTTGTTTTCTCGGCAGCACTGTCTCAGGCCCCGCACTAGACATAGATTCAATGGTATTTTCAGAACGAACATACGTAGGCTTCTCCTTTGATTTCCACAACCTACAGATGAAATATATGCACAAATAAGAACACAAAGACTTCAACACTTAGTAAACAGAGGTGAAATTTTCACTCACAGTTGTTTGTTTTGAGAGAGAGGCGCCTTGTTCTTAGAGGATGACTGATACCTTCGAGGTCCTCTCCCCCTAAAACTCTTGGGAGCACTGTCCTGATTGTTACTCTTGGTGTCATTATTAGTGACTTCTCTAGGCATGTTTTCTTGGGCATATCTATTCCGACCACGACCTCGATTACGTCCCCTATGACCCCTCCTTCTATGCTGCATATGGTAATTCAAATGATAAACCAAGAAAAAATGAATAATTTCTTTTCTTAAAAATAAAAGCACTTCAAATTAGAAGTACACATCTATAAACCTATGCAGGATATTCACCTCTTCGTGAGTCCTTTCATGTGAAGTCAGCTCCTCAAACTTATCGTGTCCCCATTTCATATCATCTTTGGACTCCCACAACTTTCTTCCTCCAAGCATCCTCCTAAAGAACATCATATCCAAAATAAGTGGACCGGTTCAGTTTCCGAGTATCTTAAAGCAAATCAGTATGGTACGACAAAAAGTTTAAAGAACTGCCCTTTTTATATTTGCTAACAATATAAACCTTTCAAACTGTATCATACATTTCTGTCTTATCAAGAAATGGCAGAAAAGCCTTGAGATAAACACATCTAATATATAAATATAGGTGAAAGTGGTGGAACTAAAATCCAACATCATAAGATATCTTACTCAATTGCGCAAAAGGGGGGTAATGAATCCACAATAACTAATGGGTAGAGCACATTACATGTGCTATTTGACAGCATCATGACCAAAATCCTAAAAATAAGGAAAATGATAATAAATCTTCCTATTTTATATTTGCTAACAATATAAACCTTTTAAACAAGTAAACCTTTTAAACAAGATAAGAAAGAAAGAAAGACCAAAGCCAATTATTGGTGGGATCATCGGTATCCGTTCAAAATTGAGGTCTTCGACCTAATGGAACTAATTTAGTTTCATATGCATCTCCTTCCAGAAACAACCTTGGCAGAGCCTATGCCTACAAGAAAATTGAATAAGCCTTCTCCAACCATATCCAACATTCCTTCATTCAACTTGCATTATTTCCCCACAATCAATAATCAAAAAGCATGGATTCAGCCCAAATCGAAATAAAGTTCACTGATACCAATCTCACTTCAGAAATCAAATTTATACAACCTCTCATCAGACTGACTTTTCTTAACTCCTCATCAGATAGAAGAGAAAGCAATATAAATTCTTATGCTATTAATCCACAAACATTTAAAAAACTCGAGCACTTCAATTCGACCAAGTGTAATCACTCAAAGTCTGAAGGAAAAATTTCCATTACCTATTTCGTCCCCCAGCACTGTCCCTAAACCTATCATCATGCATGTAGAATGCCCCAGCCGTAGGCACGGAATAGGGCTCCATCTCCTTCTTTTCTACTTCAAGTTGACCATCCTCAGTTTTCAAATCACCATCGTTAATTTCACCAGCGTCATCGTTAACCCTCGTTACCTCATCCGTGACGTCTCCATCTTCCCCTGCATCACCTCTTCCCACCGCCACCGCCACCGCCTTTGCCCCTTCCCCACCACCACTTTCTCCGTCATCATAATCCGCCTCCTCTGTCTCCTCCACATACTCCTCATCCAAATCATAATCTTCCACGTATTCATCCTCGTATTCCGCCGCGGCACCCTCGGATTCACCACCGGAATCATCTTCAGCCCCTCGCGGTGGTTTTCCCCTGATTTCGCCACTCTCCTCCGCCTCGTCGTCGCTCGCCTCCGCTCGCCTCCGCATCTTCATCGATAGCTTCGCCTCCTCCGGATCGCTTTCGTAATCGATTTCTTCCCCAGCCGCAGCTGCCATCGCCGTAACACTAGTCTCGACGCCCTGATTCTACAATACTATCCGGTTAACGACAGAAAAGTTAGGGTTTAACGGGTGCCATCCAAGATTTTTTTTTAATGTCTGAAGGTCAGGGTGCGGACTTAAATAACTCGATTTTTACAATTAATTGAGTAGATTTTTGTGGATATCTCTCTTTTTATTTCCCCCTTTTGTGTGTGGTTTGAAGGACGAGTCAAATATTTCAACAACATATTTGTACTTGTTGGTTTCGAATAATTCTTTTCTTCTGTTTTTTCATTGATTTACATTTGATCTTCTTTTTTTTTTTTACAAGGTTGTTACCAGGGCACAGGGTAAGGCGAGCGCTAACAATAGCGGCCTAACACTAATTAAGACAAAAGAAAATGTCATCACACTAGTAAAACTGAGCATGGGTCCAGCATTAAACCTAGACTTCAGTTGTGCAGAAGAGCAACACTACAGCAGCAAAAGGGAGTAACTGAAATTGGAAGAATCTCTAACAGTTACCCCCACTAAGACATAGCAAATTAACAGAAAACCAATAATAACCAACTAAAGCTAGAAAAAGGAAAAAAAATGGACTAAAACCAACACTAAGAAGAACTCTAGGTTGAGATTTTCTGCCATGCTGAGGCTGCAGATTGCATTATGGTGTATTCTGAGAGGAAAAAATTTTAGAAGACCCATAAGTTCTTGACCTTCAAATATCCATCAAAGCAGGTAAGCTATATATTGGATCCCGTGCATAGAAATATGAGAGGTTTTTATGCTGCACGCTTTCATCCACCAGCTTTTGAAAGAGGAGGTATCATTTGTCAGACCCTCCCATGAGACTGAAGCCAACTTCCACACTCTACCAGTTCTGCTGCAATGGAAATTAGATATTCCAAGGATTCAGATTCTTCTCCATAGGACTTACATATTGGTATCAATTGCGAGTTTCTTCTTCAGGAGGTTGATAGAGACTGAGAGTATGTTGGAGAAGCATTTCCATAAAAAATATCTCACCTTGCCTGCAATGTTAAGCTTCCAAATCAATCTTCTAGTTTTCAGAATGGCAGCTTGTTGATGACTACATTCAGGGATGTCCAATTTGGACCATTTATCACGAACTAACATTTTTATAAACAGCTGCCACAGAAAACTGCCCATTAGTTTGCGGTCCCAGACAATTATGTCAGAGCTGCTTGGATTTAGATCTTGAATACTCAGGATAGTCTTGCTTTCTTCAGGGGGAAGACTTCTAAGGACAAGTTCAATGTTCCAATTTCTGCATGTGTCATCCACAAGCTCAGCCACCCAAGTTAAATCCTGCCTGCTGGGATTATCTAGATAAGACTTGAACCCCTTAAGCTTAGGGATCCAAGGTTGATTCCAAATGTGGATATCAACTCCTGACTTGATTTGGTATCTAATGCCACGCTGGAGATCATTCTGAGCATTCATCCAGCTTGTCCATAACCATAATCTACTAGGCTTCTTCTTAGCTGTTAGGATAGATCCATCAGGGAAATATCTAGCTTTAAGTAATTTGCTCACCAAGAGGCTAGGGTTGTTGTGAATCCTCCACAGCTATTTGGCAATCAGTGCTCTATTCACAAGATGGATATCAAGTAACCCCAGACCCCCTTTTTTTCTTAGGCAGTGTCATTAAGTCCCAGGATTTCCAGTGGATGGCTTTGGTTTGGTCATAATTATCACCCCCCCCCCCCTTGCACCACCACCAGAATGATGTGAAGAACCTAGCCAGGTTAAAGCTGAGCTTCTTGGAAAGCAGAAAACATAACATGGCATAAAGTGACAAAGCCTTCAAGACTGACTTGAGTAACATTTCATTACTTGCATTAGAGAGAAACTTGTTTTTCCAGGATAAGATCTTTTTCTTAACCACTTCTTCAATATATGCAAATGTTTGAATTTTAGAGTTGTCAATCCCAAGTGGTAACCCAAGATATTTGGAGGACATTTTCTTATGTATGCCCAAAAGGATACAACAAATTTGGTCTTAGAGAGATTGGGGGATATATTTGTTAAAGAATATGGATGATTTCTGTTGGTTAAAAATTTGGTAAAGATATCTTCCAAGTTCTTTATTTTTATGAAAATTAGCTTGAATATTAATTTGGCATTATTCCAAATTATCCTGTTGAATTTCTTTAAAATGAAATAAAGTAATATAAAAGAAAATTTGACTTCATTTAATCAACTTCTTATGTTTTTAATTTTTTAAAATTATTTGAAATTTATTATTAACTTTTCTTCATATGAAGTTGTCGAAGTAGATTACATATGTTTGTTTAGTTTAGTGCCATACCTATGGGTGACACCTTCAACCGTGTGATATATATATGACATATCACTTTAATTTATAAAAATGTGTTTTTTCACTTTTTTTATTACACAAAGGGGTCTGTAGCATACATCCCACGGTTGAGAGTGTCACTCACACAGGTGATATTAAATCTTTTGTTCCCCGCATGATGTAAAGAGTATCTAGCAAAACATGAAAAGAAATGAGTCAAATTTGTAGAATGTGAATTTTCTAGTGTCAAAGAATTAAGAAGACACAGGAAAAAATATTTTTGAATTTCTTGAATGAATTAAATGTGCTACATAATTAGCTTTTATATAGGCTTATGTGGGTACTAACAATAAAAGTTATGTAATTGAGGGAATTAAAAACAAGAAAAATGCAAATAATTAAGATATACTCATGTAATGATAATCTCAACAAATTCGTAATATCATTTTAATTTATACATTGACATCTCTTCAACCAAGAAAAGTACATATAATTAGGAGATACTCGTGTAATGACAATCTCAAGAAACTTTGTATATCATTCTAATTTATTCATTTACATTCTCTCAAATGTAAGGTTGTGCTCAAAAAACTTGTATATCAATCTAGTTTATACATTCACATTCCCCTCAAACTTAAGATAGGGATGAGAGACCATTTTTAGTTGAACACATGTTCTTGAAGTGGCCGGGTGAATGACATTTGGTTAAGATACATGCGACTTTCAATGTACTTTGTTTATTCTTTTTTTTTCGCAACGATAGGAAATATTATATCAACCATATGAACAAAATACAAGTCGTGAGCTAAGTAGCCCAATGTTTCAACAAACACGAGAACCACACTACACGGTGGCTTAGACCCTAAACACAACTGCCAACAAACACAATACGAACATGGATGTCAAGGCAGCCTAACTAGCTGCAACCTTGACACACCACTTCGAACATACCTAAACATAAGGATCAAGAATACCACACTGACACGATTAAAAATAACACTGCATACCATCCAGAACAGTCCAATCTAGTAAGAATACAAACACTAACATCATATCTAGAAGGCCAAACAGAAAACTATGAAGAAACTGAGATGGAGTGCCCACTGAACCCAAAGTCAGGACTTAGACTCCCTCACAAATAGCTCTCAAAGTCTTCTTCTTGTCTATGATGTGAACTCTTGCCAATCTCTATTTGCTTCATTCACAATCAGGTGTTGTGGTAGCTATTCTGTCCTGAAGATCCACAAGTTCCTAGCCTTCCATAACCACCATAAAATGTATGTAGTCGGCTGGATTCGTGCCTATGATATTTCTTTACTGTCAATTGAACACACTCTCCCACAAGATTTTGAAACTTCTAGAATTTCCTTGCAAAAGTCCCAGCTGATTGGAGCTAACTTCCAGATTTGCATTATTGTGGTACACCTAAAAAAAAAAAGATGATCAATAGATTCACTCTCCTCACCATATCTCTAACAAATGTTATCCACCTCCATGCCTCTTTTCTGTAGGTTTTCTTTGATCGCTAGTGTTTTGGTGTAGCTCCTCCAAAAAAAATGCTTCAGTTTACCCTTGATATTCATCTTCCAACTCCTCAATCTAATTTTTCTCCTCAATAATGCTTGACTACTAGTTTCAGCAATATCCATATGTCTAAACTTGTCTTCAAAAGACATGGAGTAAGCCTTAGCAACCCCAAACTCACTTTTGGCACCATCATCCCAGGACCACCTATCTGCCTTAGTTGGATTGAGGGACTTGATTTGCAAAATAGCTTTTGATGTCCTCTTCATCGAATATCTCCTTGACCAATGTCATGTTCTATCTTCGTCCACCAGGCTTCATAGGTCATTGACAGATTGAATAGTAGTGCAACTGCCCTCTCTGATTCTAGGGATTCTTGTCAGAGAATCTAGAACCCAAGAGTCCTGCCAAATATTAGTAGATAAACCATCTCCTATTTACTTTCTGAAATACCTCTAATATTTATTCCTCACTGTCATCCAAGTTCTCAAGAGCCAAGGCATTTTAATGTTTCTGGCCACAAAATATGGTACCACTGGGGAAGTATTTTCCTTTCAGCAACTTGTTCATCAATAAGTTAGGATTGTAGCAACTCTCTATATCTGCTTCAAAATTAGTGCATCATTAAATAATCTAAGGTCATGGAATCTCAACCCGCCACAGTCCTTAGGCAAGGTCATGAATTGCCATAATTTCCAATGTATACTTGTAGGTTATTCATCATTAGTTCTCCACCAAAAAGTTAGCAAACAAGCTAGAAATTTTGGGGTAAAAAAATTATTTTTTCCCATCCGAAGTATCACGGTTTTGGCGCATCACCATATAAACTATTTTTTTTTACAAACCACCATATGAACTATACGGGTTTTTCAATATGCCCCCTCAACCAGATATAAAAGTGGTTTAGAGGGCACATTGACAAAACGTGATAGTTCATATGGTGGTTTGTAAAAGTATTTAGGGGGCATATATGGTGACCAAACAACTTTTTCAGTCAAAACCACTTTTATATCTGGTTTACGGGGCACATTGACAAACCCGTATAGTTCATATGGTGTTTTGTAAAAAAAATAGTTTATATGGTGATGCGTCAAAATTGTGATAGTTCGGATGGGAAAAAGTATTTTACCCAATTTTATGGCATAGAGAGATGGGAAGTGAAAAACATGCCATTGTGAAAACATGAAGTGCATTGAGGACAACCTTCATAAGAACCTTCTTCCCAACTAAAGATAAAAAGTTAATCCTCCAACAAGAAATCTTGCTTCTAACTACCTCAACCACTTAGTCAAAAGATTGCTCTTTGATATACCAATGCCAAGTGGCAGCCCCAGATATTTAGGGGTTGAATGCACTTGAATGCCAGAAAGTAGCTGACACACAACAACCTGTAATTGATCAACATCATATCTACTAAATAACACAGAGGATTTCATCAAGTTCACTTTCTGCCCACTAATTTGTTATACAATTCAAGAACCTTAAGAACCACACTCACAGAATGACCATCAACACCAGAGAACACAAGTGAATCATCCGAAAAAACAATATGAGATAAAGTAATACCACCTCTAGCAATCCTAATACCAAACAGCTGCCTTCTATTAATTTCCCTCTTTAACAACTTAGAGAAAAGCTCAAACACTAGAATGAAGAGATAAGGAAATCTTGGATCCCCTAATCCCTCTAGTATCTTTAAAGTACCCACACAACTCCCCATTAATGTTCACAGAGAAAGCAGATGTAGAAACATGCTCCATGATCCACTGAACAAAGATAGCATGGAATCCGTAATTAGTAAAGCCATTCTAATGCAGTCCATTCTAGCCTATCATAGGCTTTCATCATATCAAGTTTGATAGAAATATAACCATTTCTCCTTGTTATATGCTTGTTTAGGAAATGAATCATCTAATGGGCCACAATTACATTATCAAGCAGCTGCTTACCTGGGATGCAGGTTGCTTCATTATCGCTCACACAAAATGCATCACATGCTTAAGCCTAGCAGCTAGAATTTTGGAAATCACATTATATGCTATATTACACAAGCTTATCTATCTGAAGTCACTCAAGGTAGAAAGATATATACACTTAGGAATGAGACATATAATGGTATGATTCCAACCTTTTAGCAATTTTTTGGAAGTGAAGAAAGAAATGATAGCTTCACACATATCAGATTTCACAATAGGCCAAAAATGCTGAAAAAAAAAAAATGGGACATACCATCTTCACTAGGAGCTTTCCCAGGGTTCAAGCTAAACAAAGCATTTCGAATTTTCTCTTCATCAACATCAGCCACAAGCTATCGATTATAATCAGAAGAGGTAGAACAAGGGATAAGTTGTAGGATCTGGTCTACTTCATGACTTCCATTAGATTAAAATAGCTCAGAATAATACTGAAAAATGGCTCTCTGAATATCCTGCTTAGACTCACAACTCTTCCACCTTCTATTACCAGTCTGTTAATAGCATTTGTTTTCCTCCTCTGCATCATAAGAGCATGGTATTGTAAGAAAATTTAGTTTTGTACCGATTTTACGGTTCTATTTTTTGTAAGTGGAAGACTTAGAAAATTCTCAAAACCATTTTAAGGTGAATGAAAAATTAATTCT